CGCACGACCCTTTCCCATCCGGGTTCGCAGCCTCGTTTTCGCATGTACCCGGCCTGCCTTGCCACCGGGTTCCTTCCCGTTCTACCCGCAACGTCCCCGCCCCGCTATCCTACAGATCCCATCGATYCGATCTCAACGGGCATCMTGAAGGCCTTCGTCACGGTCATTTTCCGCTGGCCCTTCGGGTTTCGGGCAACCTCCGCGTCTGCCGCCTAGTCAGCATCTCCGCGCTGATCCGGCCTCCCTTTCCCCTACGGCACACATCCATCCTACCTTCTCGTCCGGGTTCATTCCCGGCCTCATGCATACTTACCTCATACCGTATTTGTGCCCTCCCCACTTTTTACGAATACCCCTAATGACGCCAGCGCCCTACGATATTTCCGGTCATGCGTCATCACTACGTTCGGGCCGTACTTATTCCCTCTTACCTCTCATGCGCCCTCCCCTGGCGCGGCTCCCGACTAGGTTCACGCAAGTTCTTGACAGCCTCCCACACCTTTTTTCGGATACTCCAAGGGGCCTGTACAAGACAGCCCCCACGGCACTGGCTACGTCTGCGTAGTCTTAACTTTCCTTCAGAGCCCTTTACATCAGCAAGCACCCCGGTTCCGCCCCCATGCATCGCAAACAAGGAGGGGTAGAGAAAGGCGGCCCCGGTCGCCGAACTGCTTTTCCYGGTTTATGCGTGTCATCCTTGCGCAGGGGCCATGCTAATCTCCTTCCTGTCCAACCCCGGTCTTAAGGAATGCCCGACAACTCAAACCAGACCCCAGAAAAATCAACGGGGCATCGCAAGAAGAACAAACCCCGCCCCACAGCACTATAAAGCCGGCGTGGCCCTAAATAAGTCGGGATTATAAGGCCTTACGCGGTCTTGTACTCGGAGGTCAGCGGGTATATCAGCGGGCTAGACTCTTAAGTAGGCCCCCAGTCGTAGTAGCGGGCTTCAAAACGGGATAGGGCCGTCCACCGAGGGGCAAGAAATACAAAAAAAAAAATAGGATCATAAAACAATATAAAAACTTAGGCCAGAAACCGGGTCTGCTGGCACCTCGTCTGCCTCACGAATCGGACCCGTCATCGCAGCTGCCAACAAAACTGAGGGGGATAGCCTCATCAGGCCCTCAACCCCTCAGTTTCTTGCCGCTCCATCGCTTCCTTGCCGCCGTCGGTTGGCCTTGATTCCTAAACCTTCGTAGCAACAGCCCGATGTCGTAACCGAGAGGGCTAAGCCCAAGCCGGGGATTGGCTCATGCAAAGTTCACTATAAGGCGGTGCGGCCTACTGCTAAAAGTCGGGAAAGTGGCCCGAGCCTCTTCCCCGCCTACAACAGTGCGCGCGGCCGCCGAGTACCCGCGCCGCCTCACCCAAGTCGCGCCGTCATCATCGCTCACGCCACTCCCCATGCCGAATCCTACCGCCGGCCGCGTGCGGTAAACAAAGCCAAAACTCCTTAATCCTTTAATTTAGTCAATGAATAAACAATAAGCCGRACAATTATACCGGCATCACGATTAATCTTCAAACAGGAAAATCACACGCGCGCCTCAATACTGAGCGCCCACTCACACTCCTTGCTTAGACAACCCTCAGCTCGCGCGTAGACGACCACCGCGCTCCGCACGAGCACTTCGCAATACGGGTTAAATCCAAACCCTTCTGTCACTTGCAAAAAACAGGGTGGATACCCTTGTAAGGGTATTCGCTCCGACAACCTACCGGACTATATTAAGCGACGTCCCCGTCGCTTCGCCAGATCAAAAGGCTGTAAATCCATTCACACTCCAAATGCTAACGAGAAATAGAACCAATCCGATTAGTCGACAGACTCAGGGTCGAGGCCTCCACCAGACCATTCCAACCATATCATCATGTTGCCAGGGTTCTAACCTGGGTCTCCGCCGTCCTTATACTAGGGCGTCGGGATACTTACTTATTATTATACTACAACATGATACTCAAGTGGCCCTCATAACCATCCTTTCCCCTTCGTCCTAGACAAACGCCGACCTCTCGTTGGGTGTCCCGTTTAGTCTCTTCCGCTATAGACAGAGACCTCCCCCGGGACGAGGGCTTTCACTTAGACCTTAGAAGGCATTCTCGCCTTCCTCCTCAAAAGAGACCTCACAATCCAAACAATGCATACGCACATATATATATATCGTCTCAGCTTTTTCTGCAGTCTAGTACAGAAGCGCTAGGTCTCGTCTCCGCCCACCATAGCCTGGTTGATCGGGCCAGGTCTACGACCTTTCCTGATAAACAGTCAATCAGGACTTTTTCACAGACTCGACTTTTATCCCACGGAGCAATTTCTCTGGGGCGGGCAACTCCCCTTAAACTCTTACCCCGCGGGCCCGCGGCCAGGTTGTGCCGGCTCGCAGCCATCCACTAGGGTTATATCCCAGTGATACTAAACTTTACCGTTTAGTTTGGTATTCCCTGAAACATGTCCCAGGATTAGCACAAGCGGCTAGACGGGGTGTCGCAAAACAAATCACAGGCCCATTGCGGGACTTCGCAGGGGTCTAAAGGCTTTTACCGGCCCTTCTTAACTAGGTATGGCATCCTTCGCACAACCACAAATAAATCCCAGTTAGACCAGCAAGGCCATGGCCCCCGACTTGATCAGGGCCAGCAGTCACCCACCCTAAGACATCTCTCGCCCAACACTCATTGCGACATTCTCAAACTTCTCAAACATCGTGGCTCTTTCTCGTCAGACTTTATCTTGCAACCCAAAGTTTTTCATGCCACTCAATCTTTTACCCACCTTTAACTTGTAAAGGTGCCTCTCGAGACAAATTTTCAATAAACAGCCTTGACCACCTTCCAAAATCATGAAGGGGTTTCTAACTGAGGACTAACTCATGAGTCCTCTGCCACAACTCAATCAATAATCATTTGGCATGGCAAGGTACTCAATTTTCAACAAGCTTCATAAACCCCATAGGGTTTCCACAGTTTTCACAAACGGGCTGCACTCCCCCTCCTTATACTCTGCCTTGTCATCTGCTTATGAGCAGATTGCATGAGTATACCGGAGGGTAGACAGCTTTACATTATTGATGGGCATTCACATAAGGCGTAACCTGTACGCCTCCCACACAAAACCAAACATCCATCAGGACAAAACCACATATGTGAGAGTGATAGTGATCGTCATAAGACAAGTATCGTAGGTATTCAACTCGTGATACACTCAGGGAGAAAAACGCCTCCCATAATCGATACAAATGCTCAACTCAGCGTCTCATCCATCCGAGTAAGGACCCACAACCCCACTGTACATCCGCCAAATATACTCAAGAGCACGAGCTCTGGTGGTGATCCAGGAACTACACTGCCTCTATCTACTCTGTCAGAATGACTCACTCCCTACATGTCGTGTACCCACAAGCCACACTCAAGACACAAGTGATCTCTAATCTACAAGTCTAAAAGCAAACATAACACACCCACATATCACACAACGATTTCCCCTCTTATGGTTTGCGGCTCAGAAGACTCGTAAGGACATGAATAAAAGGAAAAAGAAACAATGTATGTGTACAAATGGGATAACACTCAACTCACTACTCCTACAGCCTGCACACACCTAGGGTCCCCTCAATCAGGTTCAAGTATATACACCTCTAACCCATCCCTTATGTGTGCAAGAAAAATCTAACCCTACAAGGTATAGGCAAATCAGCTCCTACTCAATCAACTCCTCCTGATTCTGCCTATACAACTGTGCCCTACCTCCATCCGGAGCCCGCTCTACCATCCTGCCCTGCCTATCATAGAACTTGCCATCAATCTCAGCGACAAATCCACTAGCCTTGTCATCAAACAACCCTGGGCAGTCTGAGGCTCTATGTCCGTACTTCTTACACCACAAGCACGATCCGTCGAACCACCTCGCCGTCTTCTTCTTCTTTCCCTTTGAGCTCGACGTCGATGGTACCCCTGCTGCCTCAGTAGTCATCTCGTGGCACGATGGCAGCCCCATGCGGCCCTGAAGTCCGGGCTCCGTAGCCTCAGCGCCCTCACGTCCCTGTATGGCCTGGCTCCCTAGCCTATACTCTGGAGTGTCCAACCTCTGGGGCCTCCCCTCGTAGAGCCTCCCTGTCTCTACCACCGTCTCGCCTCCATATGGCCTTGACAGTTGAGCGCCCATCATGGTCGCTGGCTCACTCGTAGCCTCCTGTTGCTGGTGCTCCGAGCTACGCTCCCCTGTGCCGGACTCTGTAGCCCAGGACCCCAGCTCTGCCCTCAAACCTCCCAAACTCGGAACATGTCCTAGCGTATCGAGCCTCTGAGGTCCCTCCTGTGGCGTGGCTATCCCCATGGTTGCCGCTAGCTCATGTAGGCGTGACCCCCTCCTCTCCGTGGACATTGTCATGAGTGACTCCTTCGCGCCCCTCTCCTCTGCAGATAGATGTAGCGGGCCCTGGCCTGGGCCCTCCTCAGGGGCTCCATGGGGTGTGGACGCTCTGGGCTGAGTCATCTCCTCGACGGACATCCCAGTCTCAACCGCTCCCTGCTGAAGGGGCTCTGTTGCCGTCCCCTGGTGAGGTGAAGTCTGCGTCCCATGATCGCGGACATCCATGTCAGGTCGTATGGCCCGGCTAGCCACTAAGGCCTCAGAGAGCCTGCTCACCACGGCCGTCAACTCCCCAAACCTTCTCTCCCACTCGACCTCTCTGGCCTGACTCCTTGCCCTCTCCTCTGCCAACTGAGCAGTCAGCTGCTCCACCTCCATCTGCCTAACTCTAGCATCATCGCTGAGTAGGCTATAGTGGTCAAAGGATGTCTTCACTGCCCCGCCTATCCTCCTGTCCAATCGCTCGATCGCCATCGTCCCAGCCGAGAACCCAAAGTCCGCCGTCCTCCTTAGCTCATCCAGACCCTCGCCTGCCTGCCCTATCTCTCGTGACCTGCGGCGGGCGGCGTCTCGCTGGCTCTCATACCCTGCCCACAGCTCGTCAATCCTCTACTCAGTCGTTTAGTATCAACGGGCGGCCTCTGCGCTATCCCTGCAGCCTCCATCTCTGCCTGCCTCGCGTATATCTCACGGAGATGGGCCTGCACCCTGGCGGACTTCTTCTTGCATGCCTCCATCGTAACCTCCTCCACTGGCGATCCAGGAGTCCCTGAAATCGATTCCTCGACACTCATCCTTCCACTCATGCCTGGCACTACAGGCGGCGGCTCCACTGGTACTAGCTCTTCAATACTCGGACGCTCAGCCGTCGATACCTCTGATGGCAAGTCCACAACCATCCTCATCTCAATCCCCTCGCCCTCTCCCTGCCTCTCTACCTCCATCTCCTGCGCCGATGCGATGGTAATCTCTGGGAGAGACTCAGGGGCTTCCTCACTCCCTGGCTCAGGAACCCACTCTGGCCAGGGTGGCTGTACCCGCTCTGGGACCGGAGTGGATGGAGGGGTATCATCTCCAATCGTAATCAGCTCCTCATCCTGAGGTAGTGCCTGGCTCTGCGGCTCGGCTACCGCCTCCGGCTCCTGTGATCCCTCTCCACCTCGTAGGTCCGCCCCTACCTCAAGCTCTAGCGGCTCCTCCTCCACCGGCTCATACTGCACTAGCTCAGCAGAGTCCTTTCCCAAATGCGAAGCCTCCCACCTGGATGCATCAAGATGAGTTACCAGGCTCCGGAACGGCGTCTCTCCAGGCACGGCCTGCTCCTGCCTAGGTGGAGACGGCGAAGGTGGCCTCAACTCGTCTCTCGTAATCCGTCGGAACTCCACCTGCCTAAGGCCACATGCAGGGAACGGCTCCTCCTCCTGCATGGGCTCCGCGGGCTCGTCTCTCTGTCTCGCTGCGGCCTCTCCCCCCCCTCCGTGGAGCCCCTCCTGTAGCGTTGGCTCCCTCAATCTCTTGCTCCGTCTCCGCCTCTCAACCCTCGGCTCCGTCCTCCCCTGTGCCTGTCGCCCAAACATCCGCCTGAGCTGAGCTTGACAGTCCTCCCAGTCCCGTGCCCCATCTCGGATCTGCCTGGCCTCCGGCCTCTCCGCTCTCCTGGTCCAGATAAGTAGACTCCTCGTCCACTCCTCCCACGCAACCCCTTGATATAGCATACAATACTCATACGCGGGGATGAACTCCTCTGCATTCCCGGCCTCCAACCTAATGGGCATGCCATCACGTCCCCTCGGCGATGCTCTCAGTCGCTGCATCCTCGCCTCAATGTCTGACCAGGTCAAAGCCTCCTCACATATCTGGGCGACTGGGTCCTCGAAACGCCTTACTCCCCTCAAATGTCGCATCATGTCCATCTCTGACCATCCTGCCTGCGCCGCATGGCCTCGATATATATCAAGGAAGAGCACGACACTCTCGCCGTCGTACTCGGGCGTGGGCTCCCTCCCAGGCCGTCTATGTTGCTCTCCTCTCCCAGATGTCCTCTGGGGCCCCTGCCGTGACCGTGCGCCCCTCCCTCCCCTCTGCATGGCTTCCTTCGAAAAGTCAGACCTGCACAACAGGCGAGAGACAGCAACAGGCACACAACAGGGTCAGTAGCTAAGCCCGTCGGACTAGGAAGAAAACCCCACATACATTCTACACCTACTCAACTCAAAAGTCATCCTCTTTTAAGACATCCAAATGCAGAATACCTAGCCAAAGACTTTACTCTAGGAGCTCTGGGGTCCTTTACCTATTCTCTGGCCACAAACTTCTTTAGTCTTGTCCTCGACACCCAGTCTTGCCGCCTCGATTCGTCCAACTCCTCGATCTGGTAGGCCCCGAACTCCCCACATCGCACGATCCTATAATGTCCCAGCCACCTTTTATCAAGCTTTCTGGACCACTTCTTTTCTAGCGAGGAGTCATATAACAACACCACATCCCCAACTCTTAAAGGCTCCTTCCTCACACGGGCCATCTGGTCCCACCGCATCTTATCATCCATGCGGCTCCTTTCCACCTGACGCGAGGCTTCCCTTAGCCTTTCTTCAGCGGCTCCAACTTGTCGTGCTCGAATATCTAGCAGCTCTTCGAATGTCAGGTCGGTCTCCAAATCCTGGCGCCTCCAAGTCTTCAAAAAGTTTTCGATAGGGAAGGTAGCATGCCTTCCATACCACAAGGTTGCTGGCGCGTACTTGGTAGTCCTTTTTATCGTGACATTCTCGACAAAGAAGACCGCTCTCAGAAACTTTGGTCACTAGTCGGCTTTCCCTTCAGTCCACTTAGCAAGGAGGTTCGTGATGGTACTATGCCCCCTCTCTACTGGTGCATTTGCCTGAGGGTGCGCCGCTGTAGTGTGATTCGCGACCACGCCATATCCTGCGAGCAATGTCTGCACTTCTTGGCAGGTGAAATCTGACCCCCGGTCCATCACAAACTCCTTGACGAATGGGTAACGCAGATAGTACTCTTCGATGCAGCTGGCTAGAACCGGGACACTCTTCGTTCGAATAGCCCGGCCATCCACAAATCTCGTAAGATTATCTCGTGCGTCGAAGATGTAATTATACCCATGGTCGCCAAGCGGCATAAAAAGCAGGTCCAAATGCACTACCGCGCCCACTTCCCTTTCCAACCTCGGGTGCAGGGGTTCTCCAGGCCTCTGCGTTGATCTCTCCTAGCAAGGCACACATGACTTGCAATACTTGATGACCATTTCCAGCATTCCACTCCAATAGTATAGCTCACTTATCTTGTCATATGTGACACTTATCCCTCTGTGCCCACCTGCTATACCATCGTGCAATGATGCGATGATATCGATCTGTCGTACTCCTCCGCCCGAAAGACCTCCTTAATCTCTCCCTCCTCAAACTTTGGCTCCTCCCCTTCGAGTGGGTTCAATGAACCCCTCCGATCGAAATCCCCCTGCACGAGCGTGTTTGTTAGGAGATACATTCCCCCCATCAACTGCTCGTGCTCCTCAACTCGAGTAGGGCCCTCCTCAATCGTCCTCACTTCCTCCACCAAACTATGCGCGTCCGCCAAGGCCAACTCCATCATCCAATGGACATCCCTGCCGCCCCATGGGTCCTCCTCCTGGAAGGGCTTGAGGACCAATTCCGGCCTTCGCTCATACCCTCGAGGCGCTAACCACACAGGGTGGCTAACGCAGCTGGGTACCCTCAATGACCATTCATTTATATGCAACCGGATGTCCTCCTCCTGATCCAAGAACCCATCCACCGGTGGAGTGTCTTCTATTCACGCTTGCCCTAGCTCGTCCCAATTAACGCGGCTTAGCCCATCTGCCCTGTTCTTGTTCCCTGGAATCCTCTCCAGCTCGAAGTTGAACATCCAAATGTATGTCAACCACCTTGCGACGGTTGGGTCAGATGGAGTATAATTCTTCAGGGAAAACGCGAGTGCAGTTGGGTCCACTCTCAGAATAAGCCTCCTGCCGAAGACATAATTTCGAAAGGTCCGCAAACAATGGAGTACCGCTAATGTCTCTTTCTTGAATTGAGAGTAGTTCCTCTCGATCGAATTAAGCGTGCGGCTCTCAAACCTCAGCGACCTTTCCTTCCCGTCAACGTCCGCCTGAATCAAAACACCTCCCAGGGCGGTCGGCCCAGCATCCGTTCGATGACGAATGGCCTTTCCTCCGTAGCTTCATAGTTTGGCGCTCCTAACACCAATCCTCCCTCCCTAAACTCATTCTTTATCCGGTCCACAGCCCGTTCCTGATCCTCACCCCAAACCCACTCCTGGTCTTGGCGCACTAACTTCCTTAAATGCTTTGTCTTGGCGGCAAAGTCCTTTACGAAGCTCCTCCAAAATCCGCAAGTCCCAAGGAAGCTTCTCACAACCGTGATCGAGTGGAAGGGCAGTAGCCACTCAATGATTTTGTCTGTCTTCTTCACGTCAGGCCTTCGTCCATTCTCGTTACAGACAAAACCCAGAATCGTGGCCTCCCTCATACAATGCTTCGACTTGGGACCGCTCGCCGTCAGGTTATGCTCCTCCAAGAGGGCCAAAACCTAATCAATATCCTGAATATGCCTCCACACAAAACGCCTTACGCCAGGCATCACCTCATCCTCCTCCTTTTCCTTTGGCCCTTTGACCGCCAAATCGTCGATATAAGGCTGGGTGATGTGTGGACTAACCGTTTGCAAGGCCCGAATCATATGCCTTTGCACCATCGCCACTGCATTAGTCCACCCTTGAGGGGCTACATTCATATGAATCAGCCCCCTTGGCGTATGCATCGCCGTCACTGGCCTATCTGGTGGGTACACAGAGAATTGATCATACCCAGAGTAAAGGTCTATGAGTGAGATTATAGGCCTCCCTGCGCATGACTCTGACAGCGTGTCTGCGTTTCGCAAGCCTCCCGCATCTCGTACCGTCACCGCATTCAGTCGCTGTAGGTCTTGTACCCACCTCAACGTCCCGTTTGGTTTGATAAAACAGAACCAAGGGGACGCGTACGGCCCACTAGAATAATCGGCCACGTGCGTACGCATCTTCCCATCCAGGTAGTCCACCACCATCTTCTCCTCGTCAGGATTAGGATACCGCGCCCGACTCGTACAACATTACTCCTGGCAGGTTCGCCCTCCACTGTTGGGCTTCCTCGCACATCGTCCTCAGCCTTTGCTGGTACCTGCCCACTTTCTCGAGCAGGTCCTCCATCCTTTCCAGAATCCTCAAGGTCGGTTCCCCTACCGCTTCCTGTCCCTCGTCGTCCGATTCAGCGACTATAGGTTCCTCCTTCACGGCGCCCGCCTTCCATGGCTGGGTCACTTCCTCATTCTCCCCCACAACCTCTTCGACCCTTACAATCGGGTCCTCCCTCTCCTGCCACATTCTAAACATTGCGGGTTCTGCCGACCGTCCCGCCACAGCTCGCCTCTTGGCCTCCTGCCGAATTCCTCCCGGGGTCCTGGGGTCAATAACGTAACCCCTCTTATCGTAAACATCTCCATCCATGCACGTGCTGATCAAGCCAGCATGCTCATCATCCCTCATTTGTTGGCAGAATCGAATAGTAAAGCCCTTGCCGCCGCAATGCCAGCACGTAGCATTCTTCCAATCGAATCTGGGCCTTCCTCCTCCTTGGCCCTGACCCCCTTGGCCATTCCACCCACCACCACGGCCTCCGCCATTCCGTCCCTGTCCTCGGCCACCACCGCCTCGTCCACCTTGGCCTCTTCCGCCTCCTCCCTGCCCACCTTGTCCTTGGCCTCCCCCTTGGGTAGCCTGTCCTTGGCCTCCTCACCCTCCACCCACGCTAGCTTGCGAAGCCTGCTGTGAGGGCGGAGGCTGGGCCTCAACCTGACCTAGGGCCGCTGGATAATTCGGTGGGCCCGTACCTGTTGGTGGCCCTAAGTACGGCCCCGATGCCCCTGACGGCCCTTGGCTCCCTCCCCATGAGGGGCAATGACTACACATGGGCCAGGGCGCCATAGGAATGAAGGGTGGCCACTGCCCGTAAGGTGCCGATGGCGCTGCCGCAGGAGGCCCTGCAGCTACTGAGGGACTCGCGACGGCGGCCAGTGGCGCCGCACTGGCCTGAGGGGCTTGGCCCTTCCCCGTACCTTGTCCTCCCTGCAGCTGATTGCGCTGCCTACGCTGGGTCTTGGTGAGGGCCTGAGACCCCGTCTCCTCCTCGCCATAATCCTCCGGGCCAAACTCATCGGCGGCGACCTCCTTCCCTTTTGTCTGAACAATAGTCACCACCTTCTTTTGGGCCGCCTGCTCCTTTGTGAACCCAAACTCAGTCAGCAGGTCGGCTATTGTCTTCCTCATGTCCTGATTTGTGGCGGCCACATCATCCCTTTCTTTCCTTTTCCTCCTATGGAGGCCCATCTGGTATTGGTGGACCTCATCCAACCCTCCTTCCTTCACTCCTTTGTCAATCGTCTCCCAAGTGAGCTTCTTCCCCACCTCGCCATTCTTCGTAAGCATTGAGGCCTCCGATGACTTAAAAAGCCCTAGGAAGATAGCACATTGCTCCTCCTCAGAGATCCCCGGAACCTTCCTAGCCTTCTTCTTGAAGTCCTTCGCCAACGCTCCCACAGTGGTATAGTTGTCCCGGTTTATGGCCTCCACGTCGGCCTGTGTCATAAGCCCATCGCCCAGACGATACTTCCTTATCATACCATCTTTATACTTAGTCCATTCCCCATTCGCCGCTGTCCTGATTGCCCCAATCTCATCATGCAGAGCATGGTGCACATACTGCAATATACGCTCGAACCTCAGTGGGTTTGACACCCCCACCATTGCCTGCTCCACTTTCTCGAACCACTCCGAAACCCGGTCTCCCTCGAAGAGGAAGATTTCAACCTTCGGGACATTACCCCGGGCCCGATCTCGCCTTGCCAAGGCCTCGGCCAAGTCATCGATGGATATCATGGCCCCACCCACGACTTCGTCGTCACCCGACATTTTTGCCCAGCCTCTCTGCCTTAAACATTCCTTGTTGAACAAGAGGAACAAGCAGCACCCCACTCAGCATTCCCCCATTACCACGCTAGCCTTATCAACCCCTTAACCCTACTTTACCTTAACCCTTACCTACCTATCCTAATCAGGTTCAATCAACAAGGACAACATCCTCACAACCTCCCTTTTCCATAGCCAGCCACACAATCAAAACATACACACACCTCACTTACCAAACTCTCACCACACCTCACATATGCCTTATTTCTCTCTCGAACTACCCGAGTGTCGTTCCACCAGGGACAACGGTAGGCCTCCGTTATCCCTGGCAACGGCGCCACTTGTCGAGCGCATCGGTCCGGCACCGCTCGTGGCAGCGCGGGTCCTTAGGCCGCTCCGGCCGAGTGCGCCAGCCATACCTCTCACGAGCCCCTACGACAGGATAGGGCCTACGCGAGGCACAACTTACCTCCACCTTACGGGAGTTGTCACCTCCCATCGGTGGGCGTATCCCCGCCAAGCTACCAGTCCACAGTAATAAAGCTAATCAGTTGCAATCGCAGAGGTGGACCAGCCGAGGGCGTTTCTTGTTCGCTATAGCATAGGGGGTACGCGCGGTAAATACGCCTCTTACGAACCCGCGCGCGAACCGTCATCTTGGGTGGGTTGAAGTCCCAGGCGCGGCCCGTCGCCGGTCGACTAGGACGTACTCTGCACACCATGCGCACACCACTTTAACACCTAGGGTACAATCACACACGCACACATGCACACCAACGAACGACGTGCAAATCCCACTCCCTTCTGCAACCATCCCATAACTTTCAAAATACGGAAATTAGATAATTACTGCAGGCGAAAGCCAATATAAGGACTCGTGGGGGTAAGGTTACCTTATGTTTAACTCACAATGCCTAAGTGTGTGATTGATGGCAATTAATGCCCTCGCGGTATTGAATGGCTGAAGGAAACAGTATCGTGAGGGGTTTACCCTTCACGATATTGAACGGTTGAAGGACGTGCCGTTCGGCCTTGGTGGCCACTCTGTCTTAGACAGGGTGTCACGACAGGCAGCCCACCAAGGATCCACTTGAAGGGAACCCACCCCCATCTTGTGGAGTCGGAACCCGCCTTGTTCTGGACAAGGACCTCGAACTTGGGTTCAGGACTAACGTCCGACTAAAAAGTGCCAAAAAGCAAAATAATAGAGGGGGTCCCTTCTCAATTAGGCCTGCAGGTCGCACCACCATGCGAGCACCGCTCGCGGCCAGGTACGTGATGCTGCATAAGACACCTGTTAGGGCACACGCCGTGGGGCGACTGTCTTATCCAACCATAGTGGTGCCTCAAACAAGGCGTAGTGTTCGCTAGAACGTCTATCAGCGTTTACCTTATGAGGCGACTTCCCTTCTCACTACAGTAGTGCCTCGTCCCATAACTTAAGTAAGGACAAATCGTATAAGCATCGCGCGCTAGTCGCGAGGGCCGCGTTCGACACTCAAGTGTCGGCTGACACGCGCCTTGAGGGTTAATCTCTCGACGCTGGACAACCGCCAAGGGCGGTTGAATACCACACCCCCTTCTGCACCGTGCGGAATGGGTGGTAGACAGTTTCGGTCCTTTCGTGGCAGTCAGGGCTCCATCGCCCTGGGGGCAACCCGCCTCAGCGGGGGTTTGTCGTCAGGTCAAAGGGTTTGACTTTGACGGCTGCCACGGACTACAACGTCCAACTATCATAACTCAACAAGTAGTACTTTAAACATAGGGGATCCTTTCCTATCTAATCCTTAGTTCGAAGTCCACCCTCACTCAGCTCCCTCTTACAACGCGATACACCCTCAAGTATTTCAGGCACACTTATACACTTTTACAACGAAGGGGAATGTAACGTAAGACGATCACTTCTCACAGTCACTGTGGGGTTCCTTCCAACCATATATATGCAATTCGCAGGCAATCGAATCTTGAACCGGAACCACAAAACGTACCTGCAATCACATCAAAATTCAGCCAAAAAAATTATTCACGCACTACACGGGGTCAACTTCAACTCTCCACTATACCCATGCCCCCTTGCTTTAGCCATACAATCCTTACTCGTGTGTGACTCCTCAAAATAATAACTCAGTACTTTTGTTAAATGGTCATTCAATAAAGTCTGGGCGAAAACACAATAAAACAAATCGAACGCAAGGCTAAAGTTTTATAGGTTGGGTGACAAGAGTGGACTGGAGTTGAGTCGCAAACCGATAAATCGGCAACCGACCTGCTATTCAAGATAACAGCAGATGATCCTTGTAGGATCAGCCTGAGACTAGTCTAATTCTCGAATCAAACGGTCAAGAAAACCTGTAACATAAGACATGCCAATATCCAAGCTAAACGCATAAGCGCTAGAATACCCTCTATGTCACGTCCCCTCACAACATTCTCTATCGCCATGTGTCGAAAATAATCTTAGTCCTCTAAAAACAAGAAAATTCGGCAGCGCTTCCCGTAGGAAAGTTGACTTCTCAAAATATATATAAGCTTAAACACGAAAGCTTATAAATAAACCTTAACCCCATAGGTCAAATTTTTCCTAACTCCCTAAATTAGCAAAAATTCGAGCAGCATCTCCTTTAGAAGGGTAGACTTCCCAGATTTGTACTAAATTAGATATAGACTCAAGTCAAGAACTTGAGCCCTGCTAAGACAAAATTTGACTAACTCTTTGGATTTTTACAGAAACTTCAGCAGCACTCCCCCTGGAAAAGTGCTTAGCCAAAATTCATACAAAGATGAATTCAAGATCTAAAATAACCCCAATTCTCAAAGTCAAGATTTTGTCCAACTCCCTGATCTAGTAAAAAATTGGGCAGCAGTCCTCCTAGAAAAGGAGGTTTCCCAAATTTATACGAGATCAAACATATGTCTTAGACAAAAGTCAACTTTGAGAAGTCAGATTTCAGCTAACTCCTTGATTTTGCAGAAATTTCGGCAGCACTCCCCCTAGAAAAGTGCTTTACCAGAATTTCTACTAAACCAAGTACAACAAAAGATACCAGGAAATGCGGAAATCTGACTAAGCAGAACAAACTCAGCTCAAAACATACAGAAACCAAACTAACTCCTATCGCTCTAGCATGTGGCAAGCATCTAAAGCAACTACCTATCCCAACTGAAACTTAGATGAGGTAGTATCCCCACTCAACCACATGCAAGCCAATCCACAATGGTAAGTACTCTCACCATCCCACATTCGGTTTCTTGTCAACAATAGTTCATAATCCCTCTGCTCCGCATCATCCGATCCAGCCACTGTTCCAGATCTGCCACGATCATTATCGTTCATGACGCTGCCCCGACGGATACGATACTCTCGAGACAAGGGGTGGTGAGGCAGAGTGAGCTTGGGGAGGCGGAGGAAAAAATCGTTGTTACCTGCGCGCCCAGATGGGGATTGCGCAATATCGCACTATGCGATGGGCGCGGGGGAAGCGATGATTACGATGGGGGAGAGAGGCGAGATAATTTGGGTAAAGGGTGAAGAGGGTACGCATGATGGTGGCCCGAACATCCTCATACTTATCGCATGCGGGGATGGTTCCCGTAATCATGCAATACACTTTGACATTATTGTAGTCCTGCCATGGTGCACTAATAAGAAGGACATGCATGTGGAAGCGGGAGACGGGGGAGTGAGCGGTTGGGTGAGGACAGACAGTGCATATAAGACGGGTAGTATACAATTAATAGAATAAGGAGGGAGGAAACGGGTGCCAATCAGGGGGTAAAAGAGGGCGGCCCACAACCTGGTGGAGGGTGTGGTAATCAAGGGGACAGCGGGACAATGACCGGGGACGTCGCATGATCGTGTGCATTTTGACGTACACAAGCTGCACCGGGGCCAGAGAGAGAGGGAGAGGGGCTTCTTGCTCTTCTTCTGATGGACTCTGCCTCTGTGGAACTGCCATCTTGTCCTTCCTCTGCCGCCGGTGGATCAGAATCCCTCATGGGATCGTTAAGTACAGGTAATCGGGATAGTTTAACCACCAAATCAACGGTCCACTTGCCTTTCGCTGGGTCGTCCATCCGCCAGAGGATCGCTCTTCGGTTTCTTCCTCAGACGTGGAGCTTCCCTCCTCCGACTCTTCCCCTTCTAAGTGCTCGCTACAATCGGGGTCGCTCAATTTCGAGTTGGCACTTTCTTCCCCCTCACTTTCATTTGTGGCCACCGCCAAGGTTCCTGCCAACTCCAAAAAAATAAGAATCGATCACCTCCCGTGGATCCATATATTTGCCCCCTAACGGGTAGTATAGGTTTTAATCGTCGCCCTCGAAGCAATGTGTCAACAACAACTGAGGTGTCAGCGTCCACTAGACGATGGTTTGCACGGGGCTTAAATCACTACATGCTTCGAGGAGTTGCACGAGGAACACCAACAGTTTACCCGCAATCGCTTCAAGATTATATGACCCCACCGATCCGTACAAAATCTGTGTCCGTCCTCCACGCCTGAATGATCAGCAGTCTGACTTCGTCTTCTTCACTCTCCTCCTGGTCCACCATCTTTGCGGTCTCAGACCAGCAAAATATGACTTCCACCTCACAAACACTAAGTGTGACGTATGCTTCTAGCCATTCCCTCCACCTCCAGTCGTCGACGATAGGTACTAGCTTCGCCTCAATCTCGACGGACAAATGCGTGTTAGTGGGGGACTGCCAGAAGACGGGAAGATTCGAGGATAGTGGAAATGTGGATCATTGGTGTTGGTTCAATGGGGTGGCCCGAAGGGAACAAACTCCAGGAGTACTCGCCTTGGCTCTGTCTCGCACACACAAACTTGGTGTATGTCGATATTGTCTGTCTCGACAATTCGATCCCCCGGTCTAGCAAGCCTTTGTCGCCACGTGTCCGCCAACTCCGTTCCCCAAGCTCGCAGCTCCTAGAGTACCTTCGTTCGAACTCCCTCTTGGACTAACGTGATATCCCCACTTAGTCTATATGATAGGATAATCACCACATGGTTGGCTCTTGGTGGAGAAAGTCATAGAAAAGTCGACGCCTCGGCCAACACCCTCGCCCAATTCCCACTAT